GACCCGGTCTCAGGCCCACCGTCTGAACTGCCCAGCTCTGGTCCCTGGACACTGGACCATGCCCACCCCGGCTTCCGGGGGCCATCTAGCCTCTTCCTGGGACCAAGCCATCAGAAGCTGGAGGAAGGGGAGAGAGGGAGGGCTGGCGTGTGTCTCCAAACCCCACAGCTCCAGGAGTCCACAAACCAGCTTTCTTCACTGCATACAACAAGAGTTTGGGCTTGTGGGGCCGAACCCCTGCATGAGAAATCAGTGTGAGGCTGGCCTGAGCTTCCCCCAGGCCCCAGAGAGGAGGGCCTGTGTGGACAGCGGCCAGGACTCTCAGTCCCGGTGCGCTCGCTCCAGAAAGCACGGACATGAACCCCTTCCAACCGTATTCTTCCAAAAAGCCGCCAGGAGCACTTTCTTCGAGTTTCATTTCTTTTCTTGGGACCCCAGGATGGAGAGAAGAAGCCCCAGCATCCAGAGTCAGCGTCTCTGAGGGGAAACTATTTGCACACTCGGGACAGTTTCTACAGTCTTTTTTCTATCAGCCCCTCAACCGCCAGAGGCCATAGCGCCTGGGCCTGGGCCCCTCCACCTTCCAGCTCCTGCCCAGGCCCCAGGCCGCAAAGCCCCATCTCTCCTCCCCGTCACGCCCACTCCCACCGCACAGCCCTGGGCCTCTTCTGGGCACCAGGAAGGGCTCCACGCAGCCCTGACGTCAGGGCTGGAGAGAAAACAGCCTTCATCTCCTCTCTGGTTTTGTTTTCCCTTCACAAGCGAGCGAGCGGCGGACGTCTGGACACCCTCACTGTGCTCCCCGGGGGAGTACTTTGCCGTGTGAACCCCCACGGGACGCTGGTTCTCTAAAGGCAATAAGGGGCAGCTTGCCAGGCAGCCATGCCAGAGCGGTACTATGCTGTTCACCCAGGAAACAGAGTTTCTTTTTTTTCCTTTAAAAACAAAAAAGAGATATATATATATATTTATTTTTTCATGTGGAGTTGCGCCAGAACAAGTGTGGACGGCCACAGTCTGTGGATTTCCCCCCAACCTCAAGCTGAGGATCAAGGTGTGTCCCCTACTGGCTGGGACTCGGTGGGAGGACTCCCGAGAGATCCAGGCACAGTCAGGGGGAGCAGGCTGGTGGGCTTTCCTCTTCGGGGAGGCCCCAGGCAGGGGGAGTTGGCCCCTCTCCAGGCAGCACTCTCTGGGCTGGAAGCCAGCACCAGGTGGCCCAACCCTGGTCTAGAGACCCCACCACTTTCTCTTTGGGGCCAGAAACCTCAGGGAAGGGGGCTGTGGGAACCGCACAGGACACAGGCGCTCGGAGAGATGCCAGGGTGGGCCAGCAGGGGCAAGAGGAAAGGGCACTCTTGTCTCCTTGTGATCACCCTCTGACCCCAGCAGCGTCAGCCCCTTAGAAACCCTCAGATCTGCCATCTCCCGCCCCTCACCGGCACAGTGAGAGGAGAGCGCTGCAAGGGGGGGGCCCCCTTGGTCTTCAGCCCTGGCCAACTACTGTGATATCTCTGCCCCTCTTCCCCACCCCCTTTTTGGAAGGGTTCTCCAGGACCACTCCACCGTCCTTTCCTCAGACCCTAACCTGGAGGCTGCCCTCCCTTTTTTTAAGTTCTCCGTATCTTCAGATCATTCAAATCATTTTGGGGACCTAATCATGTACATTGACAAGTGTAAATTATGATTTTGTTTTTGGTTTTGTTTTCTGTTATTTTTTTAAGGATCTCTGCAAAAGAAATCTATTTAATTTGAGGTTGGCGTTCTCTCTGAAGGCTGGAAGATAGCAGGGTTTTGTTTTGTTTTTTTTTTTTCATATGTTGATTTGTTTCATTTGGCTTTTTTTTTCTTTTTTGTCTTTTTTTTTTTTTTTTTTTTTTTTTTTCCTATCCCGGTCTTGAGATTTTCTGGCATGTTTCTGGAGGTTTCAAAGGAAATAAATGTTTCATAGAACTGGCTTGTGTGTTCACTAGATGGGCAGCTGCCTGGAGTCACTGATGGGAGGGTGTGGTCCACCATCAGCCCCCTCCTCCTGTCCCACTTGTCCCAAACGCACGCTCGCTCTCTGCAGGCTCGTGCTCTCTCTCTCTCTCTCTCTCTCTCTCACACACACACACACACGCACACACACACACACACACACACACTCTTCCCTCAGCACCAGCCTTGCAGACTTCCTTTCCTTGAAACCCAAATGACAGGAATCCAGCGCTCAGAAGGTAAAAAGTACTTAAGTTGAAGAAAGGGAGAGTTTGCACCAAGGAAATCATTTCTAGCGGCCAGAAAGCCAGACCATGCCCACGGAGTGTGCCGGTTTTAGATTTAGTGGTCAAACTTTTAAAAATGTGGAGGTTGTATAGACAGCCGGATTTCCAGCTCGGTAAATCCTTTGCAGCGGGACTCCGAGCCAAGGGGCCCCTGCCTCCTTTGGCTGCGGCCTCCCCAGGCCACACCCTCCCGGCGCTGGCTTATTTGCATATCCACGCCCTCCTCGGTGGGAGGAGGCCTCCCACTGCCTGTCATCTGGTTGGTGGTTTTGGGTGCAAATCAGCCTCTGCTTCCAGGCCGGGGTGGGGGGGAGGGCTGTTGGCGGGGGGGGGGGGGGGGGGGACAGAATGGGGGGGGGGTACCCCGTAACTTCGCCCCTGGGCCAAACCTCCCTCTAGGGGCTCTCCCGGCCCAGCTCCGCAGCTACCCTGTTGAAACACTTGCAGTTTGACCTGAGGATCAGGGTCTCACTGATTTTCTAAATCTTATAATTCCACGTGAAAATCTAAGGTATAGCCTCTTGTGGGAAGTCCGGATCCAAGAAGCAGTCCAGCCTCGTGATAGGGCTGGCTGGCCAGGTGGCTAAGTCTTCCTGGCCCACCTCACCCCTTACCTGTCACTGAGCCTTCATCTCTGAGCTAAAACCTGATGCTTCTCTGACTCAGCCTCTCCCCTCCCCCCCACCAAAGAATATCTTTTTCCAAAACTGGTATATATCCTTTTTCCAGAGGAGGTGGACCAGCTATTTCCACATCTCCTAAAAATTCTAGAGTGTTCCAGACACTCTCCCAGTCTCCACCCTCCTTGAGGCCCCATCTTCTCCCCGTGCCCCCCCCCCCCCCCCCCCACCCAGCATGGGAATGGTGGAACAAGCTGTTCTCACATCCTCTCCTGGCGCTTGTGACACACACCAACGTCCAACGCCCCGCAACTCGCACCCACACTGTGCCCTGCTGGTCCCTTCCCCATCTTGCCCCAGTTTTCAACTTCCCCGGCCACGTCCCCATCTCTCCAGCGGGTGCCCTCTTGGACCCTCCCCCAGTCTCCCGCCCATCACCCCTGGCTCAGTCCCCAGCCAACCTCTGAAGCCCTTCATACCTTTGGCTCTCTCCACATTTCTCTACTGTCCCCTAAATTCTTTTTCCTCTCCCCTGAAGTCTCATCTCAGTGTCATTGTCCTTGGACTCTACCTGTCCCCGGATTCTGTCTCTCTCTCCCCAAATGTGGTTCCCTCTTATTCTGTCTCCTAATTTATGTGCCGGGGTTCTCTGCCTCCCCTCCTTGAATCTCTCCTGCTTCTTCAGATCACTCTCGACTTCCTCCTTCTGTCTCTCCCTGATGTGTCTGCTATTTCTTCTTACTATTATTTCCTCTCCCACTGAATCTCCATCTTTCTTCTGTTCTCTTCCCCCCGTCACTCCTGTGGCTCGCTCATCTTCCTCTCTCTCCAAATCTGTTTCTTCCCTCTTCTGCTCTTGTTCCGATTGTCTATAAATGTGTGGCTCTCTGTCTCTCTCTTGATCTCTCGGTGTCCTGGTTCTCTCCTCATCCCGCCTGGCCCAAATCTGCCTCCCTCCCAACATCCCTGGGATGGGGGACCCAGGTAAGGTCGGGTAGATTAGGAGGAGGTGCTCCTGGCACCCCCACCCCCTACCCTAGCTGGGGAGAGTGGCCTCTTCATCTTTCCATCCCTTCCCCCCAGGCTCCAGCTCCTGCCTCCCCCCTCACTGCTGCTTGCCGCAGCTGCAGCAGTCCGTTGCCAGGGCAACCACAGCTGGCTGGGTGGGAGCCCCCTCCACCCCATCCCCCCTCTCCTTTCCCGCGAGGCTGGGAGGAGCTGGGACAAAGCCAGAGAAAGGCGGGGTGCAAAGGGGGGGAGATGGAGGGAGAGGGAGGTCGGACCAGCTCCAGCTGTTCATCTCGGTCAGTTCTCCCTCAGCAAGGCCCCCATCTCCCCTTCCTGGCGATGCCCCCCAGTTCAGCCTAGAGAACGAGGCAGTCGTGGGCAGAGGGGTCAGGCCCAGTTTAATACACAGAACAAGTTAATTCACAGCAGAGGCAGGCAATAAAGGAGACTCGTTTACAAGGGGGGGGCATGCCTGGATTGGGGGAGACCCCCAAGCCCACCACCTCCCCCACTTGCAGTCTCAATTTCCCTTTTTTTTAAACCCGAACAACAAACACACACAACCACAAGAAACAACCACGCCCCCTCGCTACCCCCAAAATGGCCAGCGAGGGTGGCAGGGGGGCAGCCCGGCCTGGCCGGTGGGGAACTGGAGCAGGGGAAGGAGGAAAAACTAGTCCGTTGCAGAGTCTGTGCTTCTCATTCCAGCAGGCGCTGGGCAGGGGCCGCCCGGCCCCCCCAGCCAACGCCCACCAGCCAGGGCAGGCCCCAGCCACAGCAGGCAGAGGGCAGGGCGGGGCTCTCAGGGAGGGACCAGGAATGGAGTTCAAAACCATGGTTCACGTCATGCAGTATCCACGGTGGGCACCATTGAGGGGGCAAAGGTGGACACCACACCCACCTGCCCTGGGCACAAGGGGGAAATGGTGCCCACTTGGGGTGAGGAGGTGGGACAGCTGCAACTCCAGAAACTGGGGGGTGGGGCTGCTAGGCAGGAAGCTGGCATAGACTGGTGCCCAGTGGATGCGCTCAGCAGTGCCCCCTCCACCAGGCCAGGCCTTATAGGACTCTTTGTATATATTAATTTCTTTTTTTTTTTTTTTTAACTTTTTGACTTTTTCTTTAGAAAAACGCTGTGTCCGTGCCCCGGGCTGGCATCTACCACCCCTCGTGCCCGCCCAGAGGCGGGGTATGGCTTTGAGGGGAGCAGAAGCCCCTGGTGCCCATTTGCCAAGGGATGGGGAAGGAGGGAGGAAGGGAGAGGGGCCCTACTGGGCCCACCGACCCACAAGGCAAACATTCCACTTGCACAGAGGGAAGGGGGTGGCCCAGCCCCCTCTTGGGCTCCCCCCCTCCCCCTCCCACTATGGGGCACTGAGGGCAGGGAGAGCGTGGAGGAGCTCCAAGAGGCAGATCAGGAAGCACCACCCCAGAGGTCCAGGTGAGCCAGAGCCAGGCCTAGGTGAGAGTGATGTAGGCAGAGGCCTTCTCTTTCAGGTGCCGAAGACAGAGGTGACAACTCCAGCTCCCTGTGGTGCGGTGGGGACAGGGAGTTAAGGTCCTGGTCCCAGAAGGGCTGTCCTGACTCCCTCCCAGCCAGCAGCCCCGGTCCTGGGTCTTCACAGGCAGGAAGACTACTTTTCAACACCCCCACTCCCCCGTGGTGCCCACCTCTTCTCTCACCTTCCGGGGGCTCCGCCATGGGGGGACTCAGGCAGTACATGTGGTAACCCCGATCGCAGTCATCACAAAACAGCAGCTGGTCCTGGGGGGTGAGACCCGCCCAGCTGGCACCCTGGGGGCACGGGCACCAGAAACCGGGGTGGGGGGGCTGGGGCAGGGGTAGGTCAGAGGGGCTGGGGAAGGTGGGCCCTCCCACAAGAAGGGGCTCCGAGATCTTTGCAGAACACCCCTGAGGTCGGCCCATTGGCAGCTCCTAGTCTGGGTCTTACAGATTCTGTGGAACACTTTAACAGGACACCCAGATGGCCTGAGACCGGCTCTAGAGGCCATGGATGAGGGTTTGGGTCCCCGTTCTACTGACGTCCTAGCTGGGTGGCCTCGGGCCAGTCATTTCCCCTCTCTGAGCCCGGTTTCTTCTCTGTGAAGCGGGGACCAGAGCACCTACCTCTGAGGGTGGTTGGGAGGAGTCAGAGAGCGACGAGCACTAAGCGCTAAGTGCCGGGCTCAGTTAATGGCCACTAACAATAACAATAACACAGGTTACGAGCGCTCCCCGGGGAGGGGCTGCTCCCCGGGGAGGGGCTCCGGGGAGCGGCCTGAGGCCCCGCGGGCAAGGGCTGGCGGAGGGGCGGGGCGGGAGGGGCCGCCGGGGGGGCGTGGCCCGGGGGCGGCGCGCACTCACGTCGTTCTCCGAGGTGCCGCACAGGCTGCACGACTTGCACTCGATGCACTGCCAGCGGTAGGTGCGCACGGCCGCTGTCATGTTCACCGTAAACTGTAAACATGAGGGGTGTCCTGGGGGCCGAGGGGCAGGGATGCTGTTAGGGGTCATCGTGCCCCTGGGGGCCGCTGAGCCCCGGGGAGGAGACGGCTCCCCCACCCCCTCCGCCCTGCTCACGGTGCCCTGCGACCACACCACACGCTGCCGCTTCCGTGGCCACCAGGCTCCTACCCAGCCACCATGGTAACCACATTCTGCTCCCCGGAATACCATGGCAACCGCATTCCATTACCCACAGTGCTGTGGCAACCACTCTCTACCACCCACAACACCCGGGCAGCCACATTCTGTTAACCACTGTGCTGAGGCAGCCACATTCCATTACCCACAGCAGAATGGCCAACAGGTTCTGTTAACCACAGTAACGTGGCAACCACAGTCTCCCGGCCACGGCGCCATGGCAACTACCTGTCACAGTGGGGTCCCCACACTCTGGGTTCCCTGCAGCCCCAGCCCATTTTGAAGGAGACCCCAGTAACCAACTTCTTCCTGACACTTCCGTACAATGCCGTCCCACTGCCCCGGTGCCAAGACCCCCTCGGCCATTACCCGAGGGCCCCGACAGCTACAGGCCACGGCACCCAGTCACCATGACAACCGTATCACACGCACTCCCCTTAATACCATGACAACCGCAAGTCATTCCCCACTGTGCTGAGGCAACCACAGTCTATTACCTACCAGCCCACCCTGGGAAGCCACATTCTGTGAACCACAAGCCCGTGGCAAGCGCCGCTGGTTATCCACGGTACCCAGCCAGTGGCCATCCATTACTCGCTATCATAGTCTGCTACCCACAGTGCCTCGGCGGCCAGCTTTCAGTACCCCTCGCCGTGAGAAGTGCGGGCCACTACCAGTAATGCCGTGACCACCACCTCCTATTATTCCCAGAGCCCTTCTGGCCCCCCCTCAGTTTCCCGCAATGGACTCCACTCCACCAGTTCCGGGTCGTACCCCCATCCTGCCCCACCAGGCTGCACTTCTCTGCCTTCCTACCCTCCAGATCTGGACTCCTGGGGTGCCCTCCACCCTGGCCCCCAGCAACCTCGGATGGGGTATCACCTGATCGCCCACAGTCAGCACAGGAGATGAGGTCCTCGGGACACCCCGTCTTCTTGGAGCCACCCAGGCAGAAGTCACAGTAGCCGTTGGGGATGACAGTGCCGTCAGGTGCCTTCTTGGCTGAAAGACAGCAGGGCGGGGTTTGACGCGGACAGGCAGGAGCACCTAGTCAAAGGCTGCTGTAGAAGTCGGGGCAGAGGGAGGCGTCCCTACCTGTGTGTTTCCTCTGTGCCTCAGGGACCCAGGCCAATTCTTTGTAAAACTCTGGGGTTGGGGGGACAGAGAGAAGGGCTCTCACCATAGGCAAGGCTCCCCACCTGCCCCCAGCCTCCGCCCCAGCAGTGGACCCCTTTTTCCAGGCACGGGGAAGGTAAGGAGAGAGACTGGCTACCCCCGAGCTGTGGCCACAAGCAGAACAGAGTCGGGGACCCAGCTAATTCTCCTCAGGAACCCCAAACTCTCTGAGGACAACTCACACATCCTCTCTCTTAGGTAAAACTGCAAAGAAGGGCTTTCGGAAGAGCCCCAGCTTCCCCATTCACACACTCTTCTCCCAAACCAGTGCCACCTGAGCCCCAACTAGATGAAAACCGGGGACACCACTGGCCAAGATCTGGCATGGAGACAGACGGACATTGAGAAGAAAAATCCTGAACACAGAAGTGCCTGGGGGTGGAGCAGGGACGGGATGAAGAGTCTGCCCTCTCCCACTAGGAGGTGGGTGGGAAGACAGTTTTTCCCCTGGCAGAGCCTCCCCTGAGCCCTCCCCCATCCCTCAGCTGTCAGGGTTGGCACGGGGTTGGCATGGGCAGGCACCGAGGGCTCCCAGGCCATGGACCCTGCCCCTAGGCCCAAGCTTCGCGGAGAAGGGAGAAAGGGAGGGAGGGGAGTTATCTATCACCCCCCTCCCCAAGCTCTAATTGAAACAATAAATCAGACCCAGAAATATTATGCCCGGCCAGGAGCGAGGGAGAGATGGTTGGTTGCCATGGCAACCCCAGAGCCAGCATCCCCATGGTCGGTGGGGGGAGGGGACCGCTGAGCTGGAGATTTTCCAGAAATGTCTAACGTGCCCCCTCCCTCCCAAGCTCCTCAGCCCCCACTCCCAGGGTCCCTCACTGCCCCACAGCCCGCCTGCCTGCTCACGTTTATGGTTGTTTTTCCGGTGGAAGGGCAGGGCGTGGCGCTCGGCGTTCTCCTCCCCCTCCTCCTCAGCCAGGTGGGTGTGGGTGTAGTGGTAGCTGAGCCCTGGCCGGTTCTTATACCGTTTCCCACAGACTGGAGAGCGAGCAGGGAGGGCCCGTCAACCCTCCTGGCCCCTGCGGCCTCCACCCTGGCCTCGGGGATCACGCCTCCCCCCTCTGCCAGAGGCCTGAGCATCCCCTCCCACCGGGCTCTAGAACAGGAGGGAGGGGGCCAGTGGGGGGAGAAGTCTCTAGGCCCCACTCTCTCTCTTTCCCCCTCTTCAGAAGGACTCACTATCACAGACATACGGCTTGTCTCGGTCCTCCAGGGAAGCGGTGTCCTGGCGTTTCCGGAGACCCCCGATGCCGTATGCCTGGGGGGAGAGTCAGGGTCAGCGGCCAAGAAAGGGAGGGAACTCAAAGAACTTTCATCATTTGAGCCCAAAAGGTGAACCGTGGCTCTGCCACTTCCTAACTTTGGGCCCCGACCTCTCTGAGGTTCGGTTTCCTCATCTATGGCATGGGCATAAAGTGGGTTCTAACCCACTGTACAATCTCAGCTTTGCAAATGACTTAATAATATCCAAGCCTCAGGTTGCTCATCTGTAAAATGGGTATAAAATACACACACACACACACACACACACACACACACACCCCTTCAGGCTGCTCTGAGGATTAAATGAGATCAACCCGAGGCAGGGCCTAACCATTGTGCATGCTCAGTACATGGGATCTGTCACTGAAGAGAGGGGTGATGAAGAAGAACAGGGGGGTAATACCTTTCCTTTAGCTCTGTTCTTCCTCCTGGGAATGTCATCCTCCAAGTCTTCCACCTCGAGATCATGTGGAAACTCCAGCAGCTGCTGTTTCTGGGCACCAGGAGAAGGGAGATGGAGGTCAAGAAAATGGGGGACACCATCCTGCTTCGTAGGGGTTTTGGACACAGCTGGAGATTGCGGGGAGCAAGGGAAGTCAAGAGGTCTTCCAAAAAGAGAAGAGGTGTGGAAGGATGGAGACTTAGGATGCCCAAAAGCCCGAGGGAACCGGGGGAAATTGCTGAGCAGGACTAGGATAGGCCAGGGCAGGTGGCCGGGGGTGAAAGGCAACTGGGGCCCCCGAGGGGTGGTCCCACCTGGCAGTCCATAATGGTCTCCTCCTCCTTCAACTCAATCTTCTTCTCCCCAGTCTCAGCACACAGTAGCGCCTCAAGAACTGGCCCTTCCGGGAGGCCGCCCTCCTTCTTCAGGGGTGCCTCACAGTCTGGGGACAAGGCCAGGGTGGGGTCAAATGGGGAAGTTGTCCCTGGAGGAGTCCTCAAACAGCCCAGTTCAGGGAACCAAGCCCTTTACTTCGGGAAAGAGGCTTTCCCACACTCAACCAGTAACAAGACCCAAAGATGCAATCATACATGCTGGAAAGGCTGCTGAGACCCTGGGAAAGACCCAGCCAGACCCTCAGATCCACTCAGACCCATTCAGAAGGCACTGTCAGACCCTCACTACACGTGGATGCAAATGGAGAGATACAGATACTCAACCATGATGCACATGGGAGATACAGACCGATCATCTTGAGACAGCCAGGCACACAAAGGAAGAGATACACCCAGACACGTGGAGGAAACACATCCAAGCCCTTGGATACACCCGGAGACAATCAGAAAGAGACATTAAGCCATCAGCACTCCCTAGATCCACATAAGGAAGACACAGCCGGACCCTACCCTACACCTGGACACACAGGCAGAAGAGACAGACACACCTAGAGAGAATCACTCGGATAGTTACAGGTGAACATACACAGGGGAGATGCAGTCCTCTGAGGCAGACAGACACACCTAGAAAGACACAGCCAGATACACTTCAATACACCTGCACCCACACAGACCCTTGGATACACCCAGACAAAAGACAAGAAAGTGCCAGTGACTCTGATAGCCCCTGTCACAACTGAAGTAAGGAAGCCTTGACTCTCTGGCTGGACAGGCACGTGTGGGCAGAAATATACCTAATACACAGCCACTAGGGGAAGAGATTCTCACAGACATTCCAAAGCATCTGGACACTCAAAGAAGAGACGGCCAGACACCCTGATATACCCAGACACACTCAGGAACCGCTGGATACTGGGCTAGACCAGACACACACAAGACCAAATAAACCCTCGAGTACTCCTGGAAACACCTAAACACAGAGACACTTAGATACACTCCACTGTGGATGGAAAGACACTCCGACACATCCAGACACATGCAGGCACCCATAGGAAGAAATACAGCCAGACACTGATATATCCTAGCTCACCCGGGGAAGATCCACCCACTCTGCCCCCATATACCTCAGCCCAAGGAGGAAAAGATACAGTCCAAGCCCTTAGCCCAGTCACTCAGAGAAAACTGGGGAAGGTCTGGGCTACACCCAGATACAGACCTACAGACCCTGGCTACGAGGGAAAGGTAAATGGTCAGATCCCCACTGGCATCACCACACACTTATCAGCGTGGTCTCGGGGCACTGATGGGGCCACTCTGGGCACAGCTTGAAGCTCCACCCACCAATCTTGTACTCGCAGGGCCGGAGTCTGGGGTCCTCCAGGATGTTGAGTCTCCGTTTCTTCCTCCAACAGCGCGCAGGGTATGTGTAGATCTGTCCGGGGGCCAAACCTGGAGTGAGAAGGCCAAAGGGCCAAGGGAAGGGCCATGAGAACACAAGAAGGCGGGCTGCCCCGCCCCGCCCCGCCCCGCCCCCATCCTCCTGGCAGGTACCAGGGCCGCGGTGGGTCTTTTCCATCCAGATGTAGCAGTTGTTCTGGGCCACGCCGGTCTGCGAGTCGAGGAACGGCAGGCGCAGGCTGCGCTCAGCGCACAGGCGCGCGTTGTAGCTGCGGCAGTGCTCGATGGCCTCGCGGTAGAAGTCCTCGCCTAGGCTGCGAGTGGGAGAGTGAGCAGGTGAGCGGCTGTCAGCAAGGGCAGGGGCACCTGGCTGCCCAGCACTCCTCTCTCAGTGCCCCCCTCAGGAATGGGTGGGGGGACTTCTTCAACCTCACCACTCCCCTCCTGCCACTCCTGGACTCAGGAGCCCCCCAACCCAGGGCCCAAGCAGGCCTGCAACCAACCGAGTAAGATACACACAATACAGAAACAGACAAAAATACACCAGGACCTATCCATATATGCACGTATCAAAATACACAACACAACCAAACCACACAGGATTCACACACAAAGAGAGACATATCCCAAAACTCACAAAGGAGAAACAGACAAATCTCACATATGTGCATACAGGTATCTACTGAAAAAAAACACAAACATCAAAGTCACCTAGTGTAGAAACAGACACATCACACATCTATCCATGCACAAATACACACATCTCCAAAGACACACAACATAAACAAAGCACCCTCACAAAGACACACAACATGCAAACAGATCGCATACACAGCACTATACACGCGCATCCAAAGACACACAGAGATACACAAATATTATGAGAAGAATGTTAAAACAAACTACCCACACATGCACTTACATACCCAAGGACACAACAACAAACCACACACACACAATATCCAGGCACACTATACAAAGAAATCGCAGATTCACACAGGACAGGCACACACACACAATCACAAAGATACACAATATAGAAACCAACATCTAAAATACCACATAGTCACACAAAGATACACACATAGACAACATAGGAATAGACAAATGCACCCATATTCACACAAAAATGTACACATAAATAAACACATGCCTACCAATCCAGACACAGAACACAAATGATGCAGTTTTAAAGGACATGTACACACACTCAAAGACCAAAATATCCAAAGATACCTAGTGTAGACTAAAATAAACACATATCCACATACACATTAAAAAATAATAATAATACAAACAAGTGACACGCACTCCACATGCCAAGACAAAGATAGTGTGGGCTTCACCCAAGTTTACCAAGGCTCCCGCACCCCCAGGCCATTTCACTCTCTCCTCAACCCGGAGGTCGCGGGGCCGGACATGACCCCCTTCCCCCGAAAAGGACCCGAAGAGGACTCCGAGTTTCTCCACACCCTCCGCTCCTCCAGGAGCAGCGCATCGGACACCTTTCTTGCCAAAGACCCACAATCACACACATTCGCACCCCCGCGCAGCACGGCCCACAGTGACAGCCCCCCCAAACACCCCATCGGCCCCACCCCCGGCCGCCACACACACACACACACACACACATACACACACACACACACACACATACACGCGCGCGCCCGCGGAGACCCGCCCGCGCGCCCTCTCCCGCCTTCCGCCGGCCCGCAGCACCTCAGGGGGCCGGGGATGACCGTGGCCATCTTGCTCCCCGGGTCCTGCCCCCAGCAGGTCCCCGCCGGGTCGGTCCTCCCAGCGCTCGGGCGGGCGCTGAGGCCGCCCATCCATTCATTCCCGCGGGGCGGGAGCACCGGGGCCACAGCCAATCACAACGGCAGGGCGGGCCCGCCCGGGCCATGCTGGGAGTGGTAGTCCCTGGCCTGGGGGCTGCCTGGACCCCGCGGAGAAGGAGGCGCAGAGGTGAGGCCCAGGGAGCGCACACGGTCAGTCACACCCGTGCGCTCTTACGCGCATCCAGTGTCCCGGGCATCCACTCACACATGCACACCTGGACTCGCACACACCCACGTACGGCAGTTTACACACACATTCACACGTATACTCACAGCCTCCCACGCAGACTCACGCACACTTCCCTCCCACTTTCACAGACTCACATACATTTACACTCACACAAACACTTCGAAGCCATGAGACTTAGAGATACCTTAGAGGTGCCCACACAAACGTCCCCACCGGCAAGTCTGCACTTGGCTCCCTGACACGTCTCCCTCCCTCATCCCCAGCACACACACACACACACACACACACACACACACACACACACACCCGCCCCCAGCTCGGGCGAACCTTATCTGTCCCACACGGGCAGTCCCTCTCGCAGCGACCCCGCCCTGCTCCAGCGCGTCCTTCCGCAGGCCCCGCAGCTCCGCATTTGGAAGAAGCCCTACCCACACCTTGCAGGTTCAAATCCTGGCTCTGCAAATTCGATGGCCATGTGGCCTTGGGCAAATGACTTAACCTTTCTGGGCCTCAGTTTCCTCATCTGTAAAATGAGGGTAACGCCTCACTGGATTGTTGTAAAGATTAAATAAGTAAATATGCACAAAATGTTTTTATTTTTTATTTTTTCCCATCCCCAGTGTGGAGTCCACCCCATGGCTCCGGGAAATCCAGATCTGAGTTGAAATCAAGAATCCGTCGCTTGGGGCCCCTGGGTGGCTCAGTGGGTTAAGCCTCTGCCTTGGGCCCAGGCCCTGATCTCAGGGTCCTGGGATCGAGCCCTGCGTTGGGCTTTCTGCTCAGTACAGACCCTGCTTCCCCCTCTCTCTGCCTGCCTCTCTGCCTACTTGTGATCTCTCTGTCAAATAAATAAATAAAATCTTAAAAAAAAAAAAAAGAATCCGTCGCTTAATGGACTAAGCCACCCAGGAACCCCCATAAAGGTAAAAGGCACCCTTCTTTTAAAAAGTACCTAGCAGGTAGTAGACGTTCAGTAAATTCACTCCAGAGGATCTGATATGCAGTTAGATGTAAAATGGTGATAGCCAACCATTTCTAGAAAGAATAATGCCTGACACAAGTAGATGCTCAGTAAGTTTTTGTCGAATGATTAAATAAATATACTGAGTACCCACCCTGTGCCTGACACAGTTCTAAATACTTCAACAGGAGTAACTCCTACAATCCTCATAATGACCCTCTGAGGGGATGCTATTTTTATGCCTATTTTCCAGATAAGAAATGGGAGGCAGAGGGAGGGGAAATTACATGCCCTCAGCCCGTGGCCACGGTTTGAGGGTGGGACTAAGAGAAGGATTCACTCCCCTGGATATCTGTACCAGAATGAATCCTACCTCCTTCTTTCTCCCACTGTCACCCACATAGACTGCACCCTAAGGGATCTCCAGACAGTGAGCTGCCCCACCAGGCCACACCATGGCTCACCTGGAATCCCCCTGGTCCAAAGTTTATGCTCCAGTTTGAGCCCCCCTGTACACCCCCCCCATGGAAAAAAACGCCCACAAATGTCCTTATCCACCAGGGGGCTCTCCAGCTGACAGAGAGGCAGACTAGCCTTCACCTCTTTTGTCACTTGATGCCTCCACCTACTCTCTGGTGAGAGAAACACCCTCAGTGTCTTCCACACTTATCACTTCTAAACACACACACCCCTAGTCTTAGACCCCTTCCACAAACTCTCCCCCGATCTCCCCCAGGTAAGGCCTCGACCTTCTCCCTCCCCCACTCCCAACAGGACACAGTGGGTCTCGGCTTCACATCTGGCCTAGAGTAGGTGGCAAGGGGAGTAAGTCAGGGACGCTGGTACCCCCAGGCTCACGCTGGCCTCCAGGCTCCTATACCAGCCACCCCACACCTCACCCGCAGAAAGCCCTCGCACTCCCCCCTCCCTGCCCATCAGCTCAGCTCCCAGAGTGCTCTTGCCACCTTCCTCTCACACCTCGCACCACCCTCACAGGTCCCCCAACACATTACACTTGCTCCCCACACCTCCAGCCTCAGACACTCCAGCTCCCTCCTGCCCCACCCCAGAACGCTTACATCAATTTGACCAGTTTGGGGCCTGAGTGTAGAATATAGCCCATCCCCTCCCTGGTGGCCCTTGTCTAGCAGCACGAATGACCCACAGAGCGGACACAAACTGACACTTCCCTCCCTTTTCTCGCCCCTGGTCACCTTCACAGATCCCTCTCCCACACTTGAACTCCCTTGCCGAAGCAGTCCTCCTCGCCCTAGTGCCCACCCTCATCCCTGCAGACCCCTCAGAAGGTGAGAGCAGAGAAGGGTGCTGCCACTCCCACCTAACCTCATTCCAGCCTCCAGGCCCCTGAAATACCCTACGCGGACCGTGGACCACGTGAGAAACCAATATTGATACTACTAATAATAATTAGTATATTTAGGCAGAGTCAGGCTCTGTACCAAGTGCTTTACAAAGACCACAACAGCCCCTTGAGGTCATAGGCACTGTTATGATTCCCCAACACACAGATGGTAACACTGAGGCTCTGGAGGAGGGGGAGAAGGGGAGTGAATTAATAGCAAAATATGAGGTTTGAAACTGGGCAGTCAGAACCTCTAGGCCTGCTCGGTCCACTCTCCCACTCCCAAGAGGATTTGGCTCTCACCTTCCTTCAGAAGCCAGTTCCTACCCTCACCCCTCAACCTTGCAGACCTTTCCCAGGATGAAAGCAGAGAAGGGCAAAGTAAGGGCTCTGGCACTCCCACGCCAGCGCTTCCTCGGGCCTCCTCCGAGAGGTCTAGGCTCCAGGGTCAGGGTGAGGAGGCCAGAGTGCCTGGAGATCCACCAACCTCTACAGGAACCCTGTCCCAGCCCGCTCGAGGGTGTTCCTCATAGCAGACACATCTGTGTGTGTGTAAGAGAGTGAGAGGGAAGCAGAAGGTTGTCACCATCACACACCTCCTCACACTAACCCCAGCTCCGCACACACGCCCTGTATGCTCTCTGGCTCACCGCAAAGCCACGCGTGTGGGCGCGTGCCTATTGACCCCCCCCCCCTCCTCTCCCAACAAGCCCCTGCCAGAAACCAGAAACTACTGGGGGCCTTGGGTCTGGCCGTGAGACACAGCCCTTGGGAGGGTGGGGGGCACTCCCGCCCCTTCTCCCTCCCCAACCGCCAGCACGCGTTGCTCAAGGTCAAGGCGGCGAGCGCGACGGGTTGGGGAAAGCGGGGTTGGGGGGCAGGTCGCCCTAGCCCCTTTGTGCGGCGCCGCGGGCGTTCGCCCTCCGCCTCCTCCCCCAGGCCCGGGAGGAGGGGGAGGGGAGTGCCGCGCTCGCCAGCCGAGGAGGGAGGGCGGGAACGGCCGCGCGCCTGTCACTCTGAGCCTGCTGTCACCGCCAGAGGAAAGGGGGTGGGGAGCGCTGGGACCCGGGAGTCCGGGATCCCGAAGAGGGAGCGCGAGAGAGAGATAGAAAGAAAGAGAAGAAGAGAGGTGGCCAGAGCGAGGGATGGCTAGGACAGGGGAGGGATGGGACAGGGCTGGGCTTGAACCCAGGCGTCCAGGTTCCCAGCTGTCGGGCCCAGGAGGAAGCTAACGCTCGGAGGAGGGACGCGGACAGGGAGAAAGGGAGGGAATCCCCCGAGATTGAGGGCGCTGCCAGCATCCTCTCCAGAGGCATCCGGTCCCCAAGGGATGAGAGATGCTCTTGTTAGATGTCTATGGGCAGGGAGAAGGAGCGATCCCACGGTCTAAGCTGACCTGGTCGTCAGAGCTTCTAGGTCCTGAAGACCGGGCGAGGAAAAAGGGGAGACAGGACCCCCGACGTCTCAGCTCCCACCCTGCGGTCGCGCGGGCCGAGGCCCCAGAGAAAGAGGGGGGAAAGAGAAAGGTTCTGATGTGAGGAAAGAAGGTGGTGAGGACCCCGGAGACTGAGGTCTGGACTTAAGCGTTCGTACTCCCAGCCCTATGCCGGGGCGGGCCCGGCGCCCCCGGAGGCGCGGAGGAGGAGAGATGAAGGAGGAGGAGAGGGAAGCCCCTACCCCCACTCTGGGTGGGGAAACGGCCTCCGCCACCCCCCAGCCCGCGCCACATTCCTTCACTGACAGCGACAAAGAAGAGACGCCCCCGCGACCCTGAAGGGGCTCCCGCCCGCAACCCCAGGGGACAACAAGGGGCGGCGGGTCCCCCAGGGGTGGGGGGGCGCTCTGGGGTTCCCCATTAAACTACCTTCCGAGCGCCGCGTCCCCTTCCCCAGCGAGGGCGGGGGAAGGGTCGGGGATGGGGGCAGGATGGAGGGACGTGGACGGCGGGGACACTCACGACTTGAGCGGGTTCTGAATGGCGGTGGCCATGGCCCGCTCGGCTGGGCCGCCTCCGGCCCGGGGCGCTGCTGCCGCCGCGCGCGGGCCCAGCTCGGCCTGCGCCGCCCGCTCTGCCGCCCAGCGCGCTACGATTTCATTCATTCTTGGGGCTGCGGCGCGAGCCGAGCGGGGCGGGCCGGGGGCGGGGCTCGGCCAATCCCCGCACCTCCCGGCGCACGACGGGACGTGGAGTCTAGGGGCGCGCGGCGGCGCCCGAGGGCGCCCCTGGCCGGACTACACGTCCCAGGGGGCGCCGGGAGGACCACACGCCCATTGGCTGCTGAGGATACAGGGCGGGGCTGGGCTCGTCCCAGAGCATCCTTTACTCCTCCCTGAGGGTGCTCCATTCCCATCTCGGGCTCTCCATCCTCCAGGACCCGTCGGCGTGGGAGCAGGTGGTCCCTGGCCTCTGGGTCTCCCCTGGGTATGTGGATGACCCGAGGATCTGTCGTGTATCCTTGTCTGTGCTTGCGGGTCTG